ACGTCAGAGACGGGAAAGAACTGCCAACTCAGGAGTAGAAAGGAAACTAACTCACTGAAGGAAGAAACCTAGCATACTAAGGAAACCCTAACTTTGGGAGAGTCGAGAAAAGATACAGCAAGCAGATCCCCTCAGCTGGATCCTGAAAGAGGTGGAAGAAGTTGCCAGGCAAAGGCAGGAAAGAGATACTCCCGCAGGAAAACAAACAAACAAACAAACAAAAAACTACCAAGTATTTCTAAGTATGAAATAAATACACTCGAAAGGGGAAGGGTAGACCCACCCTTCCCCAGGCAGGGTCACCCCTACTTCAGTGCGGCCACAAGGGAGCAGCAAAACATTAGGAGCCGCGCGTGGCAGGTCCCGGCCCCTAGGAACAGCCAAACACCCTGAAGTCCTCACAGCTTCAAGGCCTGCTAGGCTCTTTGCAGAAGTTTCTGAATCATTCAGGAAAGAAAAGGGCTTCGAGCATTTAGCGAAAAAGCGCCGGTTTGAAAAAAATAAATAAAAAATAAATAAATAAATAAATAAATAAAAAAGCGCCGGTTTGGCTTAGCTAAGGAACCAACTCAAATCCAACTCATTGCCATCCAGCCAATTCCAACTCAGCCACTCTTAGAGGAAGGGTGGAACTGGCCCTAGGGGTTTCCAGACTGACTCTATGGCAGGGGAAGGCCTGCTCTTTCACCCCAGGAGTGTCTAGTCGTTTCAAACCTTGGGTTAGCAGCCCAATTCGTACTCACTACATCACCAGGACTCCGTTGATAAAGAACAAGAATCTTCTAAAGGTGTGAACATATGCTAATCATAAAACAACTGTTCACCACGGCCTTGAAGGTGTGTGCCTAATATGCACTTTCTACCTGACTTAGCATTTACTGTGAACCAGACCCTGTTCTCAAGACGTTATAGCCTCCACCTACTCCTCATGACAACCCTATCAGTAGATACATGAGCATCCCTATTGTGGACAGGGGCGACCGGAGGCATTTGGCCAGTTACATGACTAGAAAGTGGTTGGGCTCCAGGAATTAGGTGACCACCCTGTAATAGTTCCAGTCAGAGTGCAGGTACTTCTGAGTATAAGATGTGATCTTCTGGTAAATAAAACCCAGGACTGATGAGTCTAAGACAGCACACAGAGCAAGGGTATAGGGTGGGGGGAGTACAAGGTGGTGGTGGTGGTGGGGGGGGTTAAAAAGGAGGCAATCTCAAGGAGACCAGGAAGGAAAAGTGTGTTGGGAAACTGATTATGGAAGCAATCCTACAATTCTGCTTGACGAGATTGAGCAATGGAATGATATGGCATATATATTAACACCCCAAGTCATAGCAAATTAAAAGGACAAGCAAACAAATATAGATCCAGAAATGGGTTTTAGGCTCACGCTAAATTCTAGCTCCAACTTAAGAATAATTTGTTCTTACATCGTCCCCAGGAAGAAAACACAGAAGTCATGAGTGCTATAGCAACATGTGGCGAAAAATGTAGATAGTGCCCGGCCAGCAGATAAAATAGCGTCTGGGGTTGTAAAGGCCTGTTTCCAAACACGCAGCCATCTAATTGAGGTGCTCACTAAATCCACATGGAAGAAGCACACCATCATCAGTCACCGAAGGATTGGAACCCATACGATCCGAAGTCGAAGGAGGGATCAGTACCAGAGCGCAAATTGTGAGAATCCGGTGTGCAGAAGGCGATGGCTGACAGCAGGAGCCCAAGATTCGCTTGTGGAACCACATAGGGAATACGTCTCCGGAGAACCCCCCATACAACTGAGGGTGGGAGGAGAGTGGGCACTAGACAGAGTGCACTGGGGAGATGCGTGCAGAAGATCAAAGGGGCAAATCCAACTGGAACAGCTAAAACTGTCAGTGGATCCTCCCTATGATGCAGGCTGGACCTGATCTGGTTTCCAAAATTTTCTGTATTTTTGGTTTGTATTTGTGTTAGGCCAGGTTGGCTAGACAAACAAATCCAGAGACATTCCTGTGTGTGTAAGAGAGAACTTTATGTCAAAGAGTATATTAAGCAAACATCCCAGCCCAGTCCAGATCAAGTCCATAAATCTGATATTAGCCCATATGTCCAATACCAGTCTATAAGTTCCTCTTCAGACTCACGCAACACATGCAATGGCGCCGAATGCAGGAAGGTCACAGGCCAGTGGGTGGAAAGTCTTGTGGACCCAGTGGTGGTGGAAGCATCCCAGCGCTGGTGTGAGTCTTCACTTGGTTCCTCCAGCTCCAGGGCTCTGGCTGGGATCAGCATGGCGCCATATGTCCTCAGCAGGAAGATGAAACAGAGTGTGTGTGTCCTGCCTCCAGGGAGGAAGGCAGGCCTTCTCAGAATCCTCAGGAGAAGGCCATGCCCACACAGAGGCGTTATTGGCTGTGATATGATTGACAGGCTAGACTCCACCCCTTTACTCAAGTTGACAGGAAATTATGTAACCCACAATATTGTTGTTTGGTTTTTGTTTGTCCGTAAAAGGATGTATTTCCCTGACCTAACTGGTTATTTAAATAATTTAAAAAATAATTTTATTGAGGGCTCATACAACTCTTATAATCCATGCATCCATCCATTGTGTCAAGCACATTTGTACATTTGTTACCATCATCATTCAAAACACTTGCTTTCTACTTGAGCCCTTAATATCAGCTCCTCATTTTTAAAATAATTTTTTAAACCACCACCAATAATAAGTGGCATGTAGAACTGATTTGTTGGTAATTGGGGAAAAAACTCAGTATCTGTACTTATAAAATAGATTAGTATTTTTTTAAAAAGATGTATCTCAGAGGTATCATAGCTTGTAGTTCACCCTCTTGAAGTTGTGTTACATGTTTTCCCATTTTTCCATATATGAAGTTCAGGATTGATGAACTTATAAAGAGGGCAAGTAGAATAAGGGTTTTGGGGAGTTCAAGGGTGAACAGGAGACGATGTCAAGGAGTCTGTGTAGAAAAATAATGTTTGGAAACTAATTGTGGTAGCACTTGTACAATTCTGCTTGACATCATTGGACTATGGAATGATCTATACATATTTACATATATTTTTTTATATAATTTTGTAAAAAGAGAGAGAGCTCTTCACCATCTTCCCTGTCCCTCTGCTGCTGAAGTCATGAAGGTGGAGGTGTACGGTTGCAGCAGGGACAAGGCTTATCCCAGGCACGGCAGTTGCTGCAAGACCGAGGGGAAGGTTTTCCAGTTTCTTCATGCCAGATGCGAGTCAGCGCTCCTTTCCTAGAGGAACCCTCGGCAGAGCAGATAAACCGGGGAAGCTAGCGTCTAAAAAGACAGCAATGGATGCCCCTACCGTTCTCACCAAGGCAGAGCCTCAGCAAAAGATTGGGAAGGCTGGGCGAGTGTTCGCTGGAAAATGCTAAGTTGGCAGATGAGATTTTCAAATAAAGAGCAACTATGAAAAGGAAGGGGAGAAGATGCACTCTTCCTGGGAAGTCAGCAGCCCTGCAGTCTCATTTTGTTTTTTATTCAAACGTTAAATAATGGGGTTAGATTCAGTCCCTTTTCCCAAAGGTATGGACTAGGCCCTGTGCCAAATGCCGTGACACAAAGATGAGAGGGGGCAAGGCCACCCGAGGAGCTCAGGAAGTGCCAGGAGAGCCACTGACCAAGCACCCCAGAGGATGAGGTGTCCTCTGAGGAGCAGGAAAGAAGCCTCCCCTGGAGCAGTCCCCTCCCCCTGCAGGTGTGGAATTTGGGCAAGAGGTGTTAAGGAAGTCTTCTCAGAGGACTAACAGGAAAGGTGGGAATTGGCCAGGGAGGCAGTAGGTGAGTGATCCAGGCGAGGGAAACAGGATGTGAAAACATTGTTAGCAAAGACAACCAGCATTCCAGAGTTCACAGAAAGCATCTACAAGCCTCTTCTAGTGATCTCCATTTTACTCGACTCTCACGGCATGCCTACAAGTCTTTTTTTTTTTTTAACATTTTATTAGGGGCTCATACAACTGTTATCCCAATCCATATATACATCAATTGTGTAAAGCGCATTTGTACATCATTCTCAAAATATTTTCTCTCCACTTAAACCCCCGACATTAGGTCATTTTTCCCCTCCCTCCCTGCTCCCCCCTCCCTCATGAGCCCGACAGTTTATAAATTGGTATTTTGTCATATCTTGCCCTGTCCGACGTCTCCCTTCACCCACTTTTCGGTTGTCCGTCTCCCAGGGAGGAGGTCACATATAGTTCCTTGTAATCAGTTCCATCTTTCCTACCCACTCTCCCTCTATCCTCCCTGTTTCACCTCTCACACCACTGGTCCTGTAGGGCTCATCCGCCCTGGATTCCCTGTATTTTCAGTTCCTATCTGTACCAGTGTACATCCTCTGGTCTAGCCAGACTTGCAAGGTCGAATTCGAGTCATGGCCTACAAGTCTTCTGAGAAGCCACAGACCCCATGCAGCATCTCCCACAGAAGGGCTCAACCAATCCACATCGTTTGGTGAGCACCGGTGAAGAGTCGTACACGGAAGTCTTGAGGTTCCCTTGGCGTCTACCCAGATCTGAAATCCAGGCACCGTGTTTGCCCACCTCTGGCAAGGTAGGCAGGCACCTATGAAGCAAAGAATTCCTTCCAGGAGCACATGAGATTGTCCCTAGGTTTTTTGTTTGTTGCTAGATAACTTCCAAAGTTTCCCACTCAGAAAAGCAAATGAAGGAGGGTGAGGGAGGGCAGAGGGCTAGGGGAGGGTTCAAAGGTCAGTTAAGGCCTCCCAAGGGTAAACATCTCCCCCTCCCACCCCTAGCTCTCTGACTCTGGCCCCCTGGGGAAAGGGCAGCTTCGGCCTTAGCGGTTCACACCGGATCCGATCTCCTGACAGGGAACTGTAGATTCAGTCAACCACACTCAAAAATAAGCAAGCTGTGGTGGAGGGGAAATGAAAACAGAGAGGAATGAGGGAGAGCCAACCACAAGCGAGCCAGAGCAGAAGGCAGGATCGGGGAGACGGTTGGGAGACAGCGATGGAGGAGATGCTACTGCTGCTGCTATTCCTGAGGGCCGCCACAAGCAAGTGTTTACATGATGAGACACAGAAGTCTGTGAACCTCCTCAGGCCTCCTTTGTCCCCACCCCTCCCAAATATCCGCTCTTCCTTTCCCACTTACCCTGGTTCCCGTGACCCTCAACCCCTTCGGATCCAACCCTCTTTTATTGGAGATCCTGTATCAGATGGAAGCTGGAATCCTGAGGGAGGTGAGAAGAAAGAAGATTCTCGAGCAGCGAGTGCGGTGAGGGAGGCCGCTCGGCAAATCCGCAGTATCTTAGCAGGTCAGTGGGGGACAGATCAGGTCAGGGAGGGCCTACGGGAGAGGAGGGCCAGCATGGTAGAGGAACCGTTACTCGGGGATGTTGGGGTGAAATCGGTCCCTCGTTAAGTCCCTCCAGTGCAAGGACCTCTGCTGCTGAACCGAGACTTTGTCCAGTACTGCCACGCTGTCTGGGGAGACCCAGACACCTCAAACTATCACAGGTGAGCCCACATTGTTGAGAACGTGTACTTTTTCTGTGTGACTTTCAAAAGGTCTCCAGCTCACCTACCGATTTTCCATTCTTGGCAGGTGCAGCCTCTTGAATCCAGGGTATAAAGGCGAGAGCTGTCTGGGTGCAAAGGTGAAAGCAGGTTCTCAGACAGAGGGGTCTGAAGTCCTCTAGCCTTCCTAGACCTCTCCAAGATCAACAGCATCAGAACTCGTGCTTGTTAACGATGACGATTTCTACCAACCTGAAACCCCAAACCCATGCCATCATGATGATTCCAACTCACAGCGATGACCCTAAAGGACAGGGTAGAACTGCCCCTCAGGGTTAACCAAGACTCTAAGTCTTTATGGAAACAGAGAGCCTCACCATTTGCCCCTTTCTCACTCAAAAACTTACTGCCATTGAATCCATTGCAATTCATACTGATTCTATAGGACAGAGTCGAATTGCCCTGGTAGGATTCCAAAACTAACTTTTAAAAGCAGACTGGCTGGTGGTTGCGAACTGCTGACCTTGTAGTTAGCAGCCCAGCATGGAATCCACTCTATCACCAGGGCTCCCTGGAGTAAGGCTAATGGGTTAGAATCACTTACCTTGCAGTTAGCAACCCAAAGTTTAACCCATGTGCTGCAATGGCTCCTTAGGATTCCTACCACAACCTACTACTAAATCAGACACTGCAGGGTAGGGTGCATTAGATTCAGGACACTGTATTCTGACCAGTTGCCTGTTGGCACTAAGGCAGACTGAAGATTGTCCCCCTACTCCTAGTACTCAATCTCCTACTAGCCTAGCGTCCAGTCCCAGCCCATCTGCTAAATCAGATGACACATGTCACTCCCTGCCAGATCCTCGACTTCCATCTCCGTGGTTATGCCGTATGGCCGGAGCAGGGTCCTCCACAACTGGTCCAGCCAGATGGGCCTGGGGTCCCAAACACGGACTTCCTTTTGTATGTGCGGGTGGCCCACACTTCCAAATGCCACCGAGAGGTAAGGTTCCAACAAAATCATTTTTTCCCTAAAGCTCATGGTGAGGGGGCAGGGAATAAAGAAATGATTAAATTGTGCTTATTAGGGGGTAACTTGGAGCAGCATACTGATGTTTGGGAGATTAAAAAAAAATCCAGGGCACGTCTTGATGCCAACCCAGAGGAGTCCCCGCCCAACCCTGAGGAGACCCCACAGCCTCCCCGCCACCCCCCCTCTACCCCCCATTCTCACTCTTCAGTTAAGATTTCCTCTGTTCCCTGCTTCCCCCTTTCCCAACGTCCCATTGTCCTGGTCTATCCACAGCCCTCTTTAATAGCCTATGCTGCCTGCTGCCAGCTGGACTCAGAAGACAGGCCTCTTGCTGGTGCCCTAGTCTACTGCGCCCACCATCTCACCAGTGCCAGCCTCAGCCATGATGACCTGGTCACGGTGACTGCTGCATGATGCATAACATGATGGGTCACCTGCCAACAGGGTTGGGGCCGGGCAGCTCATCTGGCTTCCTGTGACGTGGATAACGCCATTGAGGGGGGGAATAGGTGCCTGAAGCTCTGAAAGCTGATTGGGCAACTAGAGGTTTGGTCAGTCCATCTTCTCGCCCTGCTCACTCTGTCCTTAGGCCACCCTCCATGAATTGCTCCATGTCCTGGGTTTCTCTGGACAGCTCTTCAAGAAGTGGAAGGATTGTCCCTCAGGACCCAGTGGTGAGAGGAAGGAGGGAGGGCCCCTCCACCGCACATCAGAGGGAATCAGGGCCTCCTTCCTTCCAGTTCTCTCCCCCCCTTTCTGAGCTCCCCGCCCCTCGGTTGCCTTCTCCCACTTCTGCACTCAGCAAGCGGGAACTGCTCTACGAGGCAACGGGTGACCAGGCGAGACGCGTGGGGACAGCTGCTTCTCACCACCCCCGCTGTGAGCCGTCGCCTGGCCCAGCACTTGGGAGTCCTCGGAGTTTCACAGGGGGTTCCCTTAGAAGAAGAGGTGAGAATGAGGATATATATTGGGGTGTTGGAGGAAAGCAGGAGTGGTCAGATAGCAACCCCAGCTGCCCCCCAACTCCTCCAGTAGGGCCCTTTGTCTTCTCACTGGGAAGCCCGACTGCTACAGGGCTCTATAATGACTGCTGCCTTCCACGGTGCCCAGCGCACTCGGCTTGACCCAATTACTCTTGCTGCCTTTGAAGACTCGGGCTGGTACCAAGTCAACCACAGTGCTGCGCAGGAACTGTTGTGGGGCCAGGGTAAGAAGTGAGGAGAAGAGCATTCTGGAGGCGGCGCACTGGTGCCTGGGGAGGTTGGAAGGGGTACCTGCAGTGGGATGCTAAAGTGTAACAGGAGTGGTGTTCAGTGCTATTTGAGACGTCATTCTTCCAACGGCTCTCTCTCTCGGGCAGGATCTGGCTTGGAATTTGGCCTGGTGGCCACCTGTGAAACAGTCTCCTCCGACTTCTTCTGTAGGGGCAGGTGTGTGTGCTGAGGGGCTGGGGGCGGTGTACAGGTGGCCGATTCTGGCGTCCCTCTACTGTCCCTTCCACACAGTGGACTGGGCTGCCACTACCTGCACCTGGACAAGGGTCGCTGCTCGTCAGACGCCACGCTGGAAGGCTGCCGCATGTACAAGCCCTTAGTCAACAGGGTGAGTAGGCCAGACAGCAGAGGATGCAACCACGCCAACTTCTAAGGCATGTACACAAGCACGATTCTCCGACCTGCTGCCCTTCCCTTCGGCAGAGTGAATGCTGGAAGAAGGAAAACGGATTCCCACCCGGGGCAGAGAACCCTCATGGGGAGGTCTACCAGTACCAGAGCCGTTGCTTCCTTGCCAACCTCACCTCACAGCTGCTCTCCGAGGGCAAGACCAGGCATCCCTCTGTGATCCCACACGTCCAAGACGGGGAGCTCTCGGGCCGCTGCTACTTAACTCAATGCACAGAGAGCGGAGCATACAGGGTGCGGGTGGCGGGGTCACCCTGGGTCCCTTGCCTTCCAGGAAAGGCTATCCAGGTGGGTATCTTCAGTGGGACAGCTGTGGTACATGGAGGGTAAGGATTTGGAAATATTGACACGTTACTACGACCAGCCTGCTTTGAGGGTCGCTCTCACTACCACGCTGTGCTACGTACTTCCTTACAGATACCTGGGTACTATGGTCTTCTCTTCTGTCCCCGAGCCCCGCTGTGTCGGACTAATGAAGGAGCCAATGCTGTTACTTCCCCATCCATGGGTTTTTCAACCCAACACCTACCGTTGCAGCTGTCTTTAAGATTAGCTGGGTCCCAAGGCCACTCCCCGGGGAAAGAACAGCGAGAAGAACTGACCAAAGAAGTGCTGCAGGCTCTGGTGCGCAGAAGTGGCACTGGCAGGTAAAAGCTGGCTCAAGTTCCGTCCGTGTTGGAGTCAGGGCAAGTGCTGAAGTCCTTACTTCATAACCTCCTGTCGTTCATTCCCCCCCCCTCAGCCTACACCAGTTTCAGATCATCTCTTCCAGACTCCCCCTCAGAGATCCCAATGTCCCTTTAGGTGCTATTTCCACAGCCCCTCGATGAACGATAGCCTGGTGTTCACTGTGCACATATGGAAGTCCCCTGGTTGCCAAGGGCCTCCAGCTGGTATGCTGCACAGGACCTTGACCCTGGCTCTCCAGAAGCAGCTTCTAGAAGTGTCTTATGGAGGAGTCAGCTATACCATAGAATACAGGTAAGTTGCCTGTAGTGTGTGTTTCAAAAAACTGTCAAGATTCCAACATGACCTTGGAGAATCATTGTGTCTCACACACACACACACACCTCCCACCAATGGGTTTCCCCACCTCTAGAATACAGGAATCTTTCAGTCTCCATTAAGGACTACCCAGGCATCTTATCTAGTTAACCACGCACCGTAGTGTGACTCTTCCCTTAACCCAGTGGTTCTCAACCTGTGGGGTGCGACCCCATTTGGGGGTTGAACGACCCTTTCACAGGGGTCACCCGATTCATAACAGTAGCAAAATTAGTTATGAAGTAACAATGAAAATAATTTTGGGGTTGGGGGTGTCACCACAACATGAGGAGCTGTATTAAAGGGCCGTGAAATTAGCAAGGTTGAGAACCACTGCCTTAAGAAATCTCAAATTAATTCTGTCTCAAAAATCAAGTTTCTGGATGACTCAGATTTGGGTTGTATTCCTGCCTTTAAGTTTTCTAGCACTTGGTTTCCTATTTAGATAAAAGTTGGGATACAGCAGTTTTATGAATTCCTTATGTAAAAAGCCCTTCCCCTGCAAGTCTAGGCACTATTTCAGGCCAATTACTTTCCATGTTCCTAGGTTGCTGGCTACCTCGGACACTAATCATTCCATGGCCCGTGTTGGTCTGTTCATGGGACTTTGCCTAGTGCTTATTCTGGTGGGCACACTGGGAACTGTAGCCCATCAGAAGCGGACTGCCCTTCAGGTTGGACCATCTGCTCCTTACAATTTACCAGTGTGCCAAGGCACAAGAGACCCAACTGGAGGAATAAGGGAAGTATGACAACACCCAGCACGTGGCAGGAGTAGGGTAGAGGATTCTCTCTTGGGAGACAACTGAGTGAAACATCTATCTGATATCGAGAATTTTGCTTTCTCAAAATACCTCTTTTCTCCAAATAACAACTTTGTACTAGAGCCTGGCAAGGAATATAGACTTGTGATTCTGAAAATGTGTTTATTGTGGCATAAAAAAATAAACTCTTCAATCTGTCAAGAGTGTCGCTTGTTTTCCTATTATTGTAGGTCAAAGTTGCAGAGTAAAAACACCCGCTCCCAGTTTCAAAGATATCATATATGCTTTGGAAAACAAGTCATTACTACGTGGGTCCAATAAAGGAATGCATAATTACCTTCCGCTCCCGATTTTCCATACTTTGTTACATTACTGGGAAAGCTGGATGTCACCTAGTTTGTTACACAAGGAGGACTCTGTTTATACTCCTTATGACCCAGTGGGCCAAGCTTGGGTTATGGTGTTTTGGTGCTGGGAAACTTGACGTCACCTGGCAAGAAGGTAGCAAAGACTGATGACCTCAATTTGCTTAGGTGGAAAACGTGTATATTAGGAATCCAGTTGATGTGTGACTGTTAAAATGATCACACCTGTGCTGTCAGCGGATTTAGTCAGCCCAGCAGATTACCGTCTCCAGATGTCTGCGTGGCACATCTGAAGAGGTCTTCCTGTTGTGTCAACGTCGGCTGTGGTCCTCTTCTCTGATTTTAATACTGTTTAGTCCTTACCAGCGGTAGCAGCCACCGCTTGGTAAAATTTTGCCACGAAGTCCGGCTCACTGACCTCCAGCTGCCTGACAAATTCATTGCGCTCCTCTTCCGCCCAACCTCGAAACCACTGATCCCAGAGTCGTAGCTGGCACTCAAAGATACAGGGTGGTCGGTTTGCCCCAGACATACTAAGCTGCTCCAAACCATCTAGTAGTGGCTGTAATTTTCCTGGCACTGCCTTAGCTACTAGGTCCTGTAGGAAACGTTCACGCTGGGGACCTGACCAACTCGCAAACCAGCGCAGAATACACTTCATCTCCTGGGATGTGATGTAAGACATTGGGGGACGGGAAGAGTTAATAATATTGCCTGGCACTGAGGGCAAGGGAGAAGGGAAGGGCTGTCGTATCAAAGGTGATGATTCCAGTGGCATTCCTGAAACATAAAAGCGCTGTGATAGACTTTCCAGACAAGCAATAAAAATACAGCTTCCTACGAGGTCTCCCTCCATCACACCCAATCAGTATCACCAGAGAAAAGGACTTCACCAATTCAATTTACAGGAAAACAAGTTCCTTTTATTAGATTACTAACGTCTTAGAGAAGCCACTCAACAATAACAAAGTATATTTGCCAACCTTTCTCTTTTTCTTAAATTCGTTACCCTCCTTAACCACTGCCTCCTGCTCCATCTTGCTTATGAAGAACCTGAAAATAGCATGCTTCTTGTTAATTCTTTCCCTCCTACTTGTAAGTTACAGGTTAAGTAAATGACATATACACCTGCAATGATTCATATTAACCCCTAACATCATCCCTGAAAAAAGCACTTAAGAAAAAAAAAGTCTAGGGTAAGCAGTTGGTCAGGGTATATATGCTAATTATTCTGGAGCGACCTACAGTGTGGGGAAAATGGGGAAAAGAATCCATCATGCCTCCTTCTGTGCCACAGTCATTGTTGTGTTAGGTGCACTCAGTCAGCCCCTAACTCAATGCACGCACAGGAGATCGAACTGCTGTCATTCACAGCGCTATCCCTGTCTGTTTTTTGGAGCAGATTGCCAGGACTTTCTTAGTCTGGAAGCTCTGCTGCAAGGTGGCCGGCATCTTAGCAACGTGAAAGCCTCCACTATCACACCCATGGTGTGGTGGCTGCGCTGGAGGCACACTGGCCGGTAATCAAACCTGGGCCCACCCCCATGGAAGGAGGGAAATTCTCCATTAAGCCACCAAGGTCTCTGTTCTGTGCAAAGTCAATTCTGACTGATAGCAACTATAGCATAATGCCTCTAAAATAGGCCAAGAATCTCATAACATTACCACCATATAGTTCCTGTAAAGCACCAGGAAAAATTAAAGGTTAATGAGAGGGCCTCACCCAAAATAAACACTGTGTGAGCAGGTAAGAAAACCAGGAAAATCAAACGTTTCTTCAGGACTCTGAAAGTCTAGTTGACCTGGTGCCTTAAGGGGTCTAACAAGTGTTATATGGATGACAAATCACGTCTTTCAACAATTTTCCTTAATGTCTAAAATAACCTGTTGATTTTGCATCATGAAGGCAACTGGAAAAGAACCCTAGTGACAAGGTTACGAGTTGGACTGCTAAGCACATGGTCAGCAGTTCAAACCCATCAGCTGCTATAGGATGAGGCTTTCTGCTCCCATGGAAGCTTGTATTCTCGAACACCCACCAGGGCAGTTTTATTCTGTCCTATAGGGTCACTATGCGTCAGAAACCATCCAATGGCGGTTTGGTTGTTGTAGTTTTAATGCGATTGGCAGGTCATCCAAGGGGAAGTTTGCAAGCCCCAGAGCTTGACTCTCTAACCCTAAAACTACTAGTCTGTGGCCCATCGTCTTAAGTCTCTCTCTCGCTGCAGATGGAAATGAACGGTCGGGCCAAGAAGGGAAACCCTCTCAACTGACCTCGGTATGAAGCTAGTGCGTGAGTGTGATGATGGCGATGCCTTCCTCACAGTGTGTCTACAAGCAGCAGCTCCTCCTAAAAGATCTTCACCCTTACTCCGTGAAAGGGAGGTCTTGGCATGGCTTCCACCAAAAACTCGAGTTCCGTCCTCCTTTACTTCACAGTTCGCCTGAATCCCCGTTAGCTAGCTCATCGCTTCTGTTCTGCCCACCCCCACGGTCTTCGGTGTAGCCCCGTTTAGACCGTTCTCGTGCACAAATGTCTGGCCCGTGGACGATGCAGCTGACCTTCGTCCTCCGTCTCATCCTGGGCTGGGAATCAAACACATGGGTCTAAAGGCACGGAGCGAGCCCCTGCCCACTTTAGACGCAACGGGCCTCCGTATTTCTGAACTCCGCAAAGAGCAACGTGGCCTTAAATGCGGGTGGCAGCGGCTCGGCTACGCGGGTGTGCGGACGGCGGCGGGGGGTTTGGCCGCCCAGTGGTGGTCATCTGCAGACCCGGCCCACAGAGGGGCTTCTACCCGGCTTACCTCCCCCTCTCCTTCCAGAGGGCACCCGGAGACCGTCACAAGCGCCCTTCGACTCCGACGACCGCCGCAGCCGCTTCCATATTTCCTGAAAACCCTAAGCAAGGCCAGCTGGGCAGCCCACGCACTTCCGCTCGCGGGCCAGCCCCAAACACCCAAGCGCCCCAGCGCCGGAGCCCTACGGCCGGAGATAGCCGAGCAGCTCCGACTCCGCTTGGGCCCGAGTCGAAGGTGTCCGAAGAGAGTCGGTTCAAAGCCCCGGCGAGACGAAGATAGCCGAACTCCGAGAGCCGGGGGAGGGAGGGGAGGCGGGGAGGGCGAGCGGAAGAGCCGATTGGCGCCGAAGTGGAGGCGAAAACAGCCGAGTAGTTCCGGAGGAACCCGGGGAGTTCTGAGTGGTAATCGAGGGGTTCACTATGGCAGTGGGCGGGGTCAGCCGGGTACGTTCAAAGGGCGTTGGCGGAAATTACCGAAGATGCCCGAAGCCGTCGGGACGGGACCCGAGTACCTCACGCAAGATGGCGGAGCTGGAGGAGGTGACTCTGGACGGGAAGCCTCTTCAGGCGCTGCGGGTGACCGACCTGAAGGCCGCCCTGGAGCAGCGAGGCCTAGCCAAGAGCGGGCAGAAGAGTGCCCTGGTCAAGCGGCTCAAAGGGGTGAGGAGACGGCGTGGCCGGGGTGTCGGCGGGGAGCGGACCCGGTAGAGACGAGTCTCCGCCGCGGCGCAGGCGCAGTGTCCGGGCTCGGCGCGAGCTCGCTCGGGCCGCCGGAGCGAGCCTGGAGGTCCGCGCGCACGGTGGTTGGCGAGGCTCGCGCTGGAAGGGAGGTCGCGCCGGTTCCCGCCTTAACGGCAGCGGCGCGAGCCCAAAATGGGAGGGTGCGCGCCGCTCTCCCGGAGTGTCCTCACCTCCTGCCCCCACCCCCTCCTTGTTTGTGTCTGTGGCCCCGGCGCATGCGCTGCAGACGGAGTTAAATCCCACCGCCGCGGCCCGCGGCGGCCTGAGGGGGCGGGCTGGGCCGGGTCGGAGTTCGGGGCGAGAGTTGCGCGGCGGGCTGCCGGGGTGGGTGTCGGGATCCGGAGGCGCAGGGCCGGGGTGGAGTAAAATGTCTGACGCTTGATTAGACCAGGAGGCGAGACGAGGAGAGACCGTCGTGGGGAGGGACGCTTTCCGAGAGTGGCGGCCACGTTCTAGAGGGGCTCCGGGGAGTCGGGTGAGGCAGCTGGGCCTGTGAGTCGGTCGGGGTGCGGTCGTCGTCGCAGGGCTGGGTCCGGGTCCGGGGTCCCGTGAGGGAGGGCAGGGGAGACGGTTTTCCGTGGGATACGTGGCAGGTAGGACGCGTTAGGACCAGGTGCCCCCAGGGTTGAGCCGGCAGACCGTTGCTGGTGCCGCGGCGGACGGTTGTTTGGTGTGTTGTCCTTTTTGGAGTGGGGGCGGGGGCGCAGCGGAGGGCCGGGGTGAGTCACACCGCACTTTACGGGGTCCGGGAAGAGTTGGTCTGCACCCGCTTCTGACGTTTTTATCGGTTTGATGGGTGTTGGTTGTCACCCTGCTGGCACCTACCGACAAGCGCCCTTCGCGTAGGTGTGGGTCAAGGTGGGTGATTTCCGTTCCCCCTCGGGCGCCGTGTCTGTGTTTTCCCGCGTTCGAAGATGGCTTCGGTTTTGGAAGTGCTTTTACCCACCGGGCCAGACTTAGGACCTAAGATACCAGGGCATCTAGGGCGGGTTCTGCCGCTTGATGTTAGGACATAGATTACTGACTGTCTCTGTTAACTGCGTTGTCCATCTGTACATTTGGGAGCGGTAACCATGGCTACCATTAAGGGTCTTCTGAAGATGGAGGAGAACCATGTTAGTAAAGGGCTCTGAGGTCCCTGGTGGGGGGAAAGTACAGTTTAAACGTGTGTCGTTAGTCACTGTATTTGATGACGAGGTTGGGGTGGCATTGTTGTCCTGTCATCCCCTTGCCCCCCACCCACCCACCCTGTTCCTGACATTTGCCTTTCTCTATACCAGGCTCTAATGCTAGAAAATTTACAGAAACACTCAACACCCCATGCTGCATTCCAGCCAAATTCCCAGGTAAGAAAGGTTTGTCAGATGAGGCGGGCTCCTCGGATGTTAAACACATGGAAGGGCATGGTGTTTTATACGTGATGCTGAATTCCTTACCAATATGTTTCCTAGTTCCCTTGCTCTGAAATGTACCCATACCAGAACAATTGCATGTCATTCAAGCCCATTTGTACAAAAAGGGCAGGGAGAAAAAGAACAGAATTAGAGGCTCTGTTGATTAATTTTTGCGACGTGAAATGGCGAGTGCACAAAGGTGTGTCTCCAATTGATGAAGTACAGCATTGGTCATTTCTTTGCCATGAACTTGGGAAGAGTAGATGATGTCACTGAATGTAGATATGAGGTGTACCCTAAGTAGGGCAGTGTGGGATAATACTTACTGACCAAAAAGGATTCTTTGGTGACAGATTTTCTAAGAATTCACTCCTTTGTGTATCACCCACCACTACGAGTGTTAGCTTTGTAATCACTCATATAAATCACTAGTTAGCTCTGAAACGTAGAGCAATAATCCTTACCTTTGGAGGCATGGATTTCTTCAGTTTCCTTATCTATAATAGGAGAAAAGGTTGTAGCTGTAATTTTATAACTGCTCTTCTGGGTTTTGTAGAGCTTTTTGGAGGACTTTCTGGTCCTTTTTTTCCCTAAGAGGATTGGGTCCATAATCTCCTCTCAAACTAGATGAGATCTATTCTTAACCACTTAAAATGTTAGGTTTCTGAGTAAGGTTTCTTTCAAAGAAATCATTTCATTGTTTACAAAAAAAATCCTGGATGATCTCTCCAGGTTCCTTTTAGCTTTTAAAAATCACCTCATTCGTAGTGTGTCACCCACTTAAAGAAGTGTAAGTCTTGGTTAGTGCAGTGGTGTACAGCTCCAGTATTAGATGAAGTCCCAGGGTACTGTGGAAAAACAAGAGAGGCCTTCCTAGTCCCTTGATAGAACAGTAAGTATTATAATCAAGACAGTTAACAGAGGCTTAGCCAAGTACAGTAATAAGCATAAGGTGCTACATTGATCAGTGTGCTCTTGTATTTCTTTTGCCTGCGATTTAGTTTTTTAAATTGTTTTTTTTTTTTTTAAACATCTGAGGTCTTTGAAGTAGGCACGATAGACACTTTAGTACATGCACCAACACTTCATGAATGTCCATTGAGGGCCAAAATACTTAATCTCTATCTCAGATAAAAGCAAACATTCACTGTGCTTAGAAAAAAAAATAACCAATGACATAAAAAGTATTTTATTCCGTTTTTCCCCCCCCTTTTTTGTCATTCTAGTAGGAGTTGCTAAGCAAGGAGGTTCTTGGTTAGAAAGAGACAAGAAAGCTGAGGACAGAAGAATTATGGGAATCTTCAGAAAATTGGGAAAAAGAAAGCCACTGGACTTTATTCATTAAATATCATTACCAAGGATGCCCTCTCACTCAAGGGAAATTAAAAGTCCTACCAAATGCTGAACTGATATCACTATTTCATTCTTTTAAATTCTATACCTGAATTTTGGAGATACCAACTCGGGCCATTAGTAACCGGACATCCCTCTGGATAGGAGACTGATGTTTTGAGGAAGTACTATTTTTGCTCCTGTCCCTTTTTGATACTATTAAAAGAAAAATGGGGGGAGGTATAAAAAAAATTATTGTCTTTTTTTCTTTTTTTTTTAATCATTTTATTAGGGGCTCATATGTATTGTCTTTTAAAAAGCTTAATTACAGGACTTTTTTTTTGAATCACCGGACTACTTACAAGGGGGTTTTTAGTCTGTGGGAAAATGGAATTAAAAGATAATGGAGTTCGTTATCTTTTAATTCTCTTTCACACAGACAAGCTGAAGCCCCTTCGTATTTTGGTCCTGTGTAAAGGAGTAGCATGGGAAAGGCTGGCTAACATTTTATTCCTCTTTCTTGGGTTCAAATATAAAAAATATATATAAAAAAAATTTGCTCAATAGAATTTTCTCTCCTGCATTTTCGTGGTTTGTTTTCTTAAAAAAAATTTTTTTTTGCTATTTCCTTCAACAGATTGGTGAGGAAATGAGCCAGAACAGTTTCATAAAGCAGTATCTGGAAAAGCAGCAGGAGCTGCTTAGGCAGCGTTTGGAACGTGAAGCTCGGGAAGCTGCAGAACTTGAAGGTAGGCTCATACTGTCAGCTCTTACCAGGAGTTATTTGTTCCTCTCCCTGTCTCCAGGTAGAAGAGCTTGTCTAACAAGGCAGTCTCAGGAGTAAGTCAGGCTGGGACTGCTCCTTACTTGCTTTGAGAGTTAATGCACCCAAGTGAGTGACTGTTTACCTTTTGTCAGGAAAGAGGACACGGTAATTTAACTGTCTTGTTAGAAGAGGATCCCTGCCAATAGGAAGAGTTTTAAGTAAAGTAAGCTGCTGTCTTGATGAGGTAGAACTTAATCTTAGGGAGTTTTTTCGTGTGCACAGTCCTCTTTTTGGTCTATTTATCTTTCTGTCCATGACTTTGCCTCGACTTCCTTCACTCCTCCGCGTAGTCCCACCTACTGAGCCCTTCACTCCCTCCCTGCCCCGTCCCAATCTCTACTTTGCAGAAGCTTCAGCTGAGTCAGAGGACGAGATGATCCATCCTGAGGGAGTGACTTCCCTGCTGCCTCCTGACTTTCAGAGCAGCCTGGAGAGAGCAGAGCTGGAGCTCAGCAGACTTTGGCCCCGTACGTATCTCCCTCCCCACTGCGCTGTTGGTCAGTCCTGCGTAGTTGGTGGGGGAGGTAGTTGTGCCTCCTTTTGTACTGAGCCTCTGAGCGTCTGTGATACTGATGTTTGTCACCTGTATTTCATGGAAATTTTGTCCTTGAAGTGTGCCTTCACCTATCTGTTGCATCACTTCTCAGCGTGTTTTAAGAGGCAGTGTGACCTCCCCCCCCCCCCCCCCACGTCTGTACCTCTTTAGGTTTTTCTCATTTGGAATTTGGAAACAGTGACAACAACTCACACATCTCTTCACCTATTATATGATATGTCATCCATCCAATCATCCCCCTCAGAATAGACATCCACCTGCTAGTTCATTTAATAGATTCTGTAGAATAACTGTTATATACCAGGTACTTGGAGTTACCAGGAATCTAATAAAGGATAAGTTCTGCCCTAATAAAACTTGGTCTAGTGAAGGGCTGAACATTAAAGAAACGGATAATTAATTAGGCACAATTGTGCTAAGTGCTATGAGGGGCATGTAGAGTATTATGGAAGCACTGGTGACATAGTGGCAACTCATTCAGCTGTGATCCGCAAGGTCAGCAGTTTGAAATCAGCCACTCCCTGGAAGAAAGACAAGGCTTTCTACTCATTTAAAGAGCTATGGTCTTGGAAACTCACAAGGACAGTTCTACCACATCCTTTACGAGTCGCTGTAAGTCAGCCTTGACTCGATGGCAGTGAATTTTTTTTTAATTCGTCTGGGGTGAGGGTGGCACCTATCTTAAGACAGCATTCTTTCAGAAGAAATGTGCCTAAGACATGGGTGGTAGGCAAATATTTTAAGCCACTGGGTGAGTTGGTGAGTAAGTCAACCCTATGAGAGC